ATCCCCAGGTAATTTCCAATTATTCAGTAATTACAACTCATTAATTCGATCAAAAAATAAAAATATTGCATTTGAAATTTATTCTGAGGTGCTGTGTGCAATTATATGAGTGATTAATTAACAATTGATTATTGTGGAGTTAATTACTCACTAGGGGAGAGTCTTTAATCCAGTATAACTCGGATTAATTGACACATCACTCCTGTACAATTCCGGAAATAATTTCATATGTTTATTTCTGTATCTTTTGATTTTTGCTTTTTCCTCCGAAATTTTCGTCTCCGGATTCTCGTTCTGTCTCCCCTCATCGGCAGGACCACCAGAATTCAAATGAGCGTCCCAAGACATTTTTCAAATATCTAAATAAATAAACAGAACGTCTAAATAAATAAAATCGCTCGATCAATTAAATATAATGAATTAAAACTTGTATAATTTACCCGAAAATTGATTTTGAATTGATTGTTCAAAGCATTCGCTGAGTTGTGCGCGGTTGTAATTTCATTTTTATTTATTAATTTCACATTTTTAATTTTTTATGAGGAATAAATGAGATAGACTGTGAAGCACGTCTGAATGCCAATTCTCTCGAAAGTTAAACGGCGGCAGTTGATTTGTAACGAAGTCAGCCGCTGTGCCACGTACGAATATCGATTTTGTTTATGAAGGGAAATCAATAGACTTGTATTTTTATTTTACCCGGAACTGTCACTGATAAAATGCACAGAGCAAAAAAAAATTGTTCTTATCACTTCAAAAATTTGAGACTTTTTTTAGACTTAAGACGTTTTTCATTTCGACTCTAAAAAGATTCTGGAAATTTCGTCTTCAAATCTCTATGAATATTAATTTCCTCTTTACAATATAATAATAATAAATAATGATAAATAGAATATTTGAGAATATTTTTGGGGTATAATAAAATTGTTGGAGCAGTTTGTTTTGATAATTTTGAATTACTCTGGCTGACTAATCAGAAATTATTAATTGTAATTAGTGTTGGGAATTCATGAGCTTTTGGATTAAGTGATTCTTCAAAGTTATAATGGCAAAAATCAATGAAGTCCTGTTGGCATGTGGCATTGTCTCACGAATGAGTCGTTTGGTCGATGACCTGAGGAAATAAAATGCTGAAACTAGATCGAAACGACAAGTTCTTCAATAATACCAAACGAAAAATTGGAGATGATGATAATTATGATGATAATCATTTACAACGGAAATACGAGCGGATAATCAAGGAACTCCGAGGAATTTTTCAGGGAATTTTAAAATCGTTACTGCAGAAAAAAATTAATTCTTGTAATTTTTCTATTTTTTTTGGCTGAAATTGAATTTATTAAATGTAATTTAAATTAAATTCATGGAGGGTTTATGTATTTCAATATTTTATATTCAGTATATGATTTATTTATGACATGTAAATTCTGGGGAAGTGATGGGTGAATCTCGAATTCATCGATTTTTTAATTAATTTTCATCAGCGTTGAATCACAAAGTAGAACAAGTCAATTTTTTCCCCGCCATCCGTTGATTACCGAATATCTTGAAACCGACAAAAGATAGTGATATTTTCATCAGGACCTTTTTTGTAGTTCTCCCCTTTCTCTACAGAAACTGTCTTTACAAAAATATCGATTTGTCGTTTCAATCCGGAGATATCAGTGGTATTCTGGTGACTCGAAAAAATCCACTTGTTTCAAGACAATTACAATTATTACAATTATTACAATTATTACAATTATTACAATTATTACAATTATTACAATTATCATGGTACAATTCAGACACGCAAATAATCCAGGGTAAATAAACATTAAGATAAATAATACAAGGAGAATTCTCCACTTCATTGGAGATTTCCCAAAATTATATTTATCAATTAACAACAAAATCTCCAGTGCGGAGAAGAGGAGTAATGAGCGCATGCTCATGCAGGTACTCCTCCTGTTCATGCTCGGATTTATCGACATTTTACCCATTTTAACCCGGACAATGAAAGGGGATGAAAACTCGTGCCATCTAGACCCGGATTCAACGTGGACAGGGGTGAACTCCTACAGTTGATCGACAAATTAATATTCCAGACTTTCAGTGGTGTAAAAAATAATAAATAATAACAATAGAGAATTGCGTTAAAAATACCGCAACGACCCAGTGATAAGAGTAATTAGATTTATAAATATACCACCCTCTCCACCCTTCACCATTTTCTGGAGAATTTTTAGTGAATAATTACATCAATTCAGGGGATTTTTGGGATAATGAGGGTGCAGTGGTCATGAGCGTTGGCCGGATGTTGGCGGAATGTACGAGTGGAGAGAAAATTGAGAGGTACTTTGGGAAGTGTTTGGGGTTTAGGCTTGGAAATTCGTCAGTCTCTTCAAGGGCTTCTTCCTGTACAATCAGATATAACGGACAATGGCCAACGAAAGTTCTCACAGGTTTGTCAGTTTATCTTTAGCTTTTAGTTTTATTACCGGAAATTTTGTTGAAATAATAAACTTAAATCGCGGTCTTATCCAGATTTCAGAGGATCATTCCAAGAGAAATTGTTGAATACAATGAATATTTTTATTTCACGTTTCAGAATTCGAATTTTGCAGTTTTAGAAATTGAAATCTGTGTAATTGACATTGGTGATTAAAATAAATAAAACTGGGTGAAATTAAATATTTCGGAAATACAATATAATTCTATTGAATTTTTCTCGAGTAAATTCTCTAATTGCCTGTAAAAATTACCGGTATTTTCAGTAATTTATTTAATGCCCTGTGATCCGATGAAATACGAAAGTTCACATTCGCGGATAAATAGAAAATATCAAGTCTATTATTCATACCCCCAGAGAAATGTCACAAGTAATTATTTTTGCATCTCCAATCAAATTATTCCACAACTCCAGTCATCATGCACTCACCAATTAATTACCAATCAATTACCAATCAATTACCAATCAATTACCAATCAATTCCCAACAGTTTAATTACAAAAACTGTCAATTTGACACTCGACAGTTTCGAATAAAATCCATTGGAGCCACACACTTACTCTGATTATTCAATAAACAATATAAACAATATTCTCTCTGTGCCCTGGCTTTATGTAAACCATCGCAACGAAATGCAATTAGCAAGCACCAGCTCAGTTACGTAATTAGTTAGTACGTACGTCATTGGAGGTGATTGTTGGTGATAAAGAATGTTCAGCGGAATTTTAGGAGAGCATATAAATAAAAATGTGATTGAAATAAATAAAAGGATATCGCTGCCAGTCCGTGGACAATTTGAGCTGAATGTGTTCACGACGCTGTCATTGGGAACGGAACTCAGCAAGATCACGATGCCGGTGAATTTTAATGAACCCCTGTCCTTTCTCCAACGAGTTGCTGAGTACATGGAGTATGCTAAATTGCTCAAGTTGGCAGCTGCTGAATCCACCCCCGTTGGCAGACTCCAGGTGAACTACTCTCATTTAGAGGGCTATTTCAATCCAATCAATTGAAACTGCCATTTATCTCCCCCCACAGGGGAAATCAATTTTTTATCGATAATTCATTCAATTGATTAAAGAGTCCTGTCTTTTTTATATTTATCGCGTCATTCCAACTGGAGCAATTAAAACTGGAAATTATTTCCACTTTTCAAAAATATCGACCATCAATTTTTTTTATTATTAATTCAATTGATTGATGAATTTTTATTATTTGAATGCGATTGATTGAAACTAGAAATTATTTGTATCGATTCTTTGAAAATATCGATCTGATTGGGGAGATCAATTTTTTATTGATAATTTATTCGATTGATTGAAGAATCCTGTCTTTTTTATATTTATCGCGTCATTTCAACCGGAGCAATTAAAACTGGAAATTATTTCCACTCTTCAAAAATATCGACCATCAATTTTTTTTATTATTAATTCAATTGATTGATGAATTTTTATTATTTGAATGCGATTGATTAAAACTAGAAATGATTTCTATCGATTCTTTGAAAATATCGATCTGGTTGGGAGTCAATTTTTTATTGATGATTAATTGAATCGTTGATGGATCTAGTTTTTTAAAATTTATTGTAAATGAAGGGAAGTTTGAAGTAATTAGTTTGTTCTTTGTGATCAGTACGTGGCAGCCTTTGCTGTGAGTGCTCTGTCATCAAACTGGGGGAGACTTGGAAAACCTTTCAATCCATTACTCGGTGAAACTTACGAACTGGAACGAGAGGACTTCCGGTATTATAAAATTAAATTTTAAGATCAATATATTCCTCAACCCCACTGTATCCACGCAATTCCCCAAAGGATTATCCAAGAAAAATAAAATGATTAGTCCAGCGATGAATTATCTGTCGAGGAAATTAAATTCTAGATCATCAAGAAATTAATTATAAATTACTGCAAAATGCAGAAGGAAAGGATTTTGCAAACGGAAAATTTTTAGAAAAAATGAATAATTATTGCGGTAGGGTGGATTTTTTTAATGAATTTTTCTCTGTGATTTTCAGGATAGTCTGCGAACAAGTGTCTCACCACCCGCCAGTCTCAGCATTTCACGCCGAGGGTCAGGATTTCGTCTTCCACGGGAGCATCCGCCCAATACTCACATTCTGCGGTAAAAATATTGAAATCCGCCCCAAAGGAATCGTGACAGTGGAATTACTGAAGTAATCACTCATAATAGTTCATTTAAAATTGTCGAAAAAAATCATGAAACCTCGATTATTCCATATAATTAAACAATGAGTATTTAATTCCACATGCAATTATTATTGACATTAAATCAATGAGATAATGTGATGGACAGAGTGTTCATGCGAAATTTATCAATTAAATTCTATTTAAAATCGGTAGTTAATGATTTATTTATTTAAACAATTGTCCAGGTGGAAAGAGGCGTACACATGGGAGAATGTCAACTGTATTTTGCACAATGTACTTGTGGGACAATTGTGGATGGAACAAGTGGGGGCATTGGAGATAAAACAGTGTGGGGGTGACAATCTCAAGGCAACTTTGTCGTTCAAAAGTGCTGGCTGGAACGGTAAAAATCTACATCGAGTCGAGGGATTCATCACCAATTCCGAGTGCGTGAATTTTTATTAACAATTATCTAAAAATAATTGAGATAACACCGATAAATCAAAGACTAAACAAAAAAAAAATCTTGTCCCTCAGAATTTGGAAATAATTCCGGATTTTTCGTTTTCCGCATTTTCCAGAATTATTGGGAATTATTGGGAATCATTGGAAATTATTGGAAATTATTGGGAATTATTGGAAATTATTGGAAATTATTGGAAATTATTGGAAATTATTGAGAATTACTGAAATGTGAAAATGCTGTGGGAGTATTTTTATATTGAATTCTGAATTTATTCCTTCAGGGAGAAACGTCTCGTTTTTCTTCATGGGGAGTGGACGGAGCGTTTACGTTCTTACGATGCATCTCTACTTTACCCCGAGATGATGGAGAGAGGGAAACATAAGAGTAAGAGCCCTCAGGGGAGTCCAGGGCACAAAAAGGTCCTCGCCAAATTAAATAGTCTGAAGATCGGGGCTTTTAAACCCTCTCATCAGGACGCGATCGACGAGTCGAGTGCGGACAGTGAGGATTGTCTTCCGGTTAACAAAGTCCCTGGTGCCCTGACCCTCTGGGAAGCGACTCCTAGACCGGCAAACAGTGCAGACGTGAGTAAACGTAAAAATCGATTGGTAAAACCGATTAATGGAAATAATATCGATGAATTGGTGTCCATTCTGATTATGGGATTATTGTATTTTTCTAGTATTTTTTTTTCACTCAATTCGCGATGTCTCTCAATGAAATCAAGGAAGGAATGACTGACAACCTCTGCCCAACGGACTCACGTCTCAGGCCGGATATCAGGAAATTGGAGAATGGAGATCGGGATGGAGCTGCCTCTGAGAAAATGCGACTCGAGGAAAAACAGCGGATCTCACGAAAAACTAAGAAGCACAAAAAAGTGCCCGATAATTTCCCCAGGTATTTATCTGTTGAAGAGATCAATTGGAGATATTCCTGGATATTTAATAAATAATTTGAATGGCTCTGCAGATGGTTTCAATCAGCGATAAATCCTTACACTGGACTTGAGGACTGGTTGTACAAAGGTGAGTATTGGGACCGCAATTACCCCGACATCGATGATATTTTCTAAGGCCCAAAATCACGACGTTCGATAAATGAATTATCAACAAGAATTGTTGACTGGAGTCTGTGAAGTAAAAATATTAAGATAGAAGGAATTATAAATCTTCTTGCTGGAGATTTTAGAGAATCATTCGGAAAGAGGTGAGGAAAGTGTGCAAACAGTCCTTGAAATTATTCAGATGAATAAAACAACTCTGCGTTCGCACCAGGAAATCATAAAAAATCACTTCAACAGCGAAGTGATAACAGAAGATACTTTGATTCATTTCTTCCGTGAGTTTTTTGGCGATTTCTCCGAAACCACGGGAGATACGGAAATTTCCGTAATAATCTTTTCTGTGGATCGAATTGAGACCTACAAAAAAGGTTATTATGAAAATTTCTCTAAATTCCTCGGTTTCGCAAATTTTTCTGAAAAACACACTCCACTTTTACCACTTCGCTCCTGACTTGAAATTAAATGAAAACCGGAAGAGAAAAATGATAAAAATAGTCAACGAATCTCTAGGATTCGTCCACAAAAATATTTTAGTTTCCTTCAACACAGGAGTAGATCCCTCAGGAGAATTGATGTCTATATAAACCCGTTCCGAGGAAAAAAGAAGTAATGAAAAATCTGGAGAGTGTAAAAAATGATTAAAATCACAATGAAAAGCTTGAAAAATTTACCCGGATGATTAATTGATGAATAAATAATAATTACTTCACCAGAATACTGTTTGTCAATTGTGTATTTTCATTATAATGGGGTAATGAATTTTGGAGAGGGAATAAACAGTGGAGGATGGAAAAATAGAAGTACAAATGAGAAGAAGAAATAAATTCTATTTTGATCGTATTGTACGCCCAGAAATATAAGAGTGGAATTATCCTAGTCATTGAAGAATTTTCCTAATTGTGAAGGGAGTGGTATCACCGGAATTTTCATTTTCAAATTGAAAATTTATCCTCCCCCCTATTTTTACAACAATTAATGTCTCATGTAGCTTCGATGTACATTTTTCGGTCAATACTGGAGATCAATGAAATGAAATAATAAATAAATAAAATCAGCGACAATGCAATTGCACCTATCAATAAATGAAAAATTGTTCTTCAAATAAATATTCATTGATGACGAATAGATTTGTTTAATTTTCCAACGGCTGTCGCAGCAGTGGGAAAATAAAAATTATATTTTCATTCTATTCATCTTCAGCACTAGGGCTTCCGCTCGAAATATAAATAAAAATATCGAGTGGAAAAAATGACTAAAAAAAATGACTAAAATTGAGGCCAAGAAATTTCTCCAGTTGTCCGGGAAATATCTGAACAAAAAATGGATAAATGTAAATAAATGGAATAATCATCAGGATTTGAGTTTTAGTCTCTGATTTCAGTAATTTTCTCTCCTCTCAATGTAAGCTTTTGAATAAATAGCAAAAATTACCAACAATCCCGAAAAATTGCCGCATAGAAAAATGATAAATGCAAATATTGAAGTTCCGTAGTTGAACGACTGCTTTTTCTGTAAAAAAAATGCTTGGAGCCTGAGATTTGAGGTGAAATTATCTCGCATTTGATACTCAATGTGCCAATCAAGTGAAATTCACTGTTGCAGCTTTCTTACGATCACATGAGTCCCGATAGAAATCCAGATGTAATCGAAATAATTTATGGCTTTCAGAGAATTATCAATTTTTTATGCTCAGGCAAAGCGGAAAAAATGATTATCAAGGGCCGATCTGTCATTCGTAGATCAATTGATTCTCGGCAACTGATGGAGCGAGATTATTCATTTTTTTTATCAGTATCTTCCGTTTAATAATGTCATTGTTGTAATGAGGTACGTTGAGATTTATCGGTCATTTTGTTGTCTATATCGAGTCATATTTAGTTGTGTATAGAGTTGAATGAGAATTTAGAAATAAATGTTATTATGAAATGTACACTGAGTTCTCCCTCATTTCCCCTCGATTTTCTTAATTTCCTATTGTTTAAATAAAAAATCATCAAACCGCAAATATATCCCAGAGATACCAATAATTTCTGGTAATTTTCCTTCAATTTTTCATAATAAAAACATCGAATTATCCCATATCAATATAAATAAACAATTATAATATCATAATTGTTATGAAGGAATAGATAAACGAGTAGATAAACAAATAGATTTTTTTTCAGATTTTTTTTTTTCGGGATGCATTCCCGCCGAATTTCAAATAATCTTTTTTCGTGATTCGTCGGACATTCGATAGATCGCGCCAGCTGTTCGATTTATCGACGTGTGCCTTCAGCACCTTCAACATGGCAGACGATTTTCGTTTCCCAGGAGAATCAGAAAGGCATCGATCTGTCCTGGAGAACACGTCATTGGAGCGTCAGTTTTCCGTATTGTCCCGTGAAAATTCGTGAAATCGTGAATAATCTATCGAAGTGACAGATTTTATCCCACGGGTGAATCACAAGTTTTTTTTTCTGGAGATAATTACTGACGACAGGCACTCGACAAACTCCAGGAAAATGAGCAACGTACCAACAGGTGAGGACATCATCATAACCAAAATATTGTCCTTTGTGTTATCCAATGATTGATCGATCAATCGAATAATTCGCGCGAGAAAAATTGTTGGAATATTTTGGGATTCTTGAATGTCTGATTGAAATGATTTATTTGGGGTTATTGGGGTTTTTGGATGGTCGCAATCGATTTGTTTTTATTTTTTCTGATATTTTGAACCGGATTTTAAAAAAATTTTGGTGCAATCATGAGATCTCATTGCGTTTTCTGTATTTGCATTGTTGCCGGCTCAAAGTACTCACTCTTGATCCGATAATTCCATTATCTTCATTAGTAATCGCCAACATGTTCCGGTCCCTATGAGTCAACATAATTATGCGGAAAATTCATGTGATCGTAATTTGAGTTGAGAAAATCTGCGAGATGTGGTCTCGTCTCGGGAAATAATCTGAATTATTTCAATTCGAAGAGAATTGATCGATATAATCATGACGTCTAGCAACATTTTTTTATGCAATCCCCTTTTTACGAATTTTACTGTGAAAAATTAATTGAATGGCGCAATAAATTTGCAGGAAAAAATTCCAGAGGTTTCGCAAATATGAGAATTGTCTTTTCCATTGATTATTGATGAGGAATTATTCTCCTTTTTTTTTCTCCTCCCACAGAGAGTTGAAAACGGAAATTTCGTTCAACTCTTCAGGGAATTATTTTTTATTCATGAAGACTCCGGATATTGCGCCGGGTATGGCAGTTTTGTTTCGTGAAATTTTGATTTTTCAATTCTTCCAGCTGAATCTTCCCCAGGGAATAAATTGAAGTTTCAGGGAACGCGAAAAGTTGAGAACAAATTGTAAATGAATAATTCACAACAGCGAATGTCTGTCAGATTTTCACCAGCCATCGACTGGTCTCTCATCCGAGTGGACAAAAAAAAAATTGATTGATCAAACTATTCAATTTGTTTACTTAGTTCAATGAACATCAATTCATCGGCTGACTGGCCAGTTCGGGAATTATTTATCCAGAAACATTTGAGGCAATCCTCTAATCGATATGAATCCAATCATTCAATTGTTCGTCTAAACATTTTCTCCGACAACACGAGTGGAAAAAAAAACACAACCCATCATCCGATTGAATGCACTAGTTGAATTTCTCTATGAACGGATTAAATTATCTCCAGAGATCGTGTACCTGTCAATCTCCAAGACGAACAATTTTATGATCAACAAGTCAGAGCGAAATTGTTAACAGACTTTATTATTCCGCGTTCTAACGGCTCTCTCATTTTTAACAATAAATAATCATTTCCGCAGAGGATTTCTCTTTAAATAACAAATTCAATTAAACAACCGCTTTTTTAAAATTTTGAGGAATTTGTAAAAGTCCAGAAAAAATCGGTGAATGATGAAATAGAAAATAAAATTAAAATCTGATATTTATGCAGTCAATTATTTTTTCATTGCTCCAATTATTCTTTGAAATATGTGTTTTTTCTAATGCAATGAGCACTAGAATTTGATAAATCATTCTCTCATTAGATCTCAATTTTCAACAATAATCTGAAATAATCAATCACGATTGCGTGATCGGATAAAATCTCATTTTTTCAGCGATTTACGCTTTCGTAATAGATCGCGATACGTATCGATCTCATTACCATGTCATTACGGTACCCACAGCGGGTCATTTTACTCTCAATATACCCTTGCATCATGTACTTCATCAAAGTACCCCTCAACATGTCACATATCAATGGAAATGTGGGATCTCTGAGGTGTACTGCAATGCAAACATCACGTGGAATTCCCTTTGCCAGGAATTCATCATATGCTCGGTGTTTATATTCCGACTATTTACTCTGCAGTCTCGGTATTTACTCAAAAAATATCCCAATATTTTTGTTTGTCGATGAAAAATCACCTTCCATTTATTTTTCAAAGACCCATGAAATTCCAAGGAGGTGCAATCTCTGGGTCATTCGCTAATTAATCAATTAATCAATCGATAGTATTCATCTACCAATTTTCCGAATTTTCGGTATTAAAAATCGGTAAAATAGCAGCAGAAATTTAATTCCATTGGATTGAATAACTAGTGATGAAAACAAAGAGGAACTTTCTCTTTATTCACCAGGAAAAAACTAGTGTCTTGCCAAAGCACCGGGGAGTCTACTGGATTTTCAGGAGAATGAGTCATTGGAGTTCGTTAGTGGTCTCTCACGGTAATGGGAGGCTGGGGAGCTTCTTCATAAGCCCAAGGACACTAAAAGTCTCGTAAATTTTCTTGTCAAGTGATGAAGTGTAATGAGGCAATTTTTTTTAATTACGCACTTATAATGCGGTATTAAATATTTTTTTTCGGGTCAAATTCTTGAAATTTGTGGAATTGCATTCTACAAGAATTCATTACAAATTTCATTTCATTTCGCAATTGCAAGTGCACGGAAATTTCTCAAAACGATTTCATGACTTTCATGACTTTTATGACTTTCATGACTGAATCTCACAATTTTTGGCAGTTTACAATTATTCTTATGTTATGTTGTTTCCCAATTGTTTATATTTTGATAAATAATTGAACGAGAATTTTTTTATTGTTTTTACATGAAATGCAATCCATTGATTGGATAAATTGCCGGATTTGTTTATTTATTGTTATGAAGACGAATTATTCCGGATTTAAAAACATAAAAAATACGTGTGTTACTCTGTGATTGTTTGTAATTTTCTACAACAATTTTCTGAAACAGCCTTGGGTGTGACGGTACCTTGGGCTATCGATCCCTCGGAAACAACAAAAAACTCGAGAATTTTAAAACGAATTTCGTACTGAAACAAGAATAAACATCGAAATCGATGCAATTTTCCTCTGCATCGTGAAACGTACGTGTGCGACCTTGAGCTTCCGGTTTTATTAATAGAATTCAAGGAATCGGATATGAAATTCAATGGTATCACTCCATGAATCGAATTATTATTTCGATTAGTCACGATTTTCCCAGCGAAAGTTTCGGGTCAATGTTCTGGTAACGCCCTTTAATTTTTGCGCAAGAGCGTGAATATGAAGAATTATCTCTTCAAGCTTTTTTTCTCGGCTATTCGATAGTTGCGAGAGGGAAATTGCAATTTACGGGAAATTGGAGTATGTAAAATTCAAGGAGTACGTGATTATCGGGGGAGTAATGAGCTGTGGCGACTGCAAACTCACTTCCTTTTTATCAGGAAATCAGAAGAAAGGAGGATTTCTCCTTTTTAAGAAAAGTCAATTAACTCTCTTTTCAGGAAAATTAATGAGAGTCAGATAAAATGACCGACTAATCATTTTTAATTCAATAAATTCAATTTTCACCAGAATTCACAGATTCATAGATAATTGATTAATTCTTGAATAGAGAATTGAATAAAAAATATATAATTGTCATATTTTCTGGGTCAACCCGAAAATTATTACTGAAAATTGAAGTATAAATAACCCGAGCATTGTTCAGGCCTAGATCCTTCGAGGTACCGTTGCAACAGTGGGTGGGGAGTAGACTGGATTTTTTTGTTGTCTCTTACCGGTTTAAAAAAAAAAATAATCTCTCTCTTCCACCCACGGAGAGACCGGTTTAAGATCGAGTGTCACGCCATCATAATTCGAGATCCTGAACTAAAATCAACGATCCTCGATCCCAGGGCACCTCTCCGTGGTAGATCCGCACCGTCGATCACTACCAGCTGTTCCTGGCGTCTAATTCACACGTGTCCTGACACCTGCCAATTTATTGGCATTTTCCGTCATTTTCTCAGTGCGAAATTGTGCGAATATCCTGAAATAATCATAAAAAATCGGCAGATTGAATTCAGTCAGACCAGTGAATAATTGTGTTTAAATGTGACTCGTTCTGTTTGGTAGTGGTAATTAAACAATTTTTAATGTTAAATAAAATGTCAATTATTATTTTAATTAGACATTGAAGGATGAAGAAACAAAATTATATGAATTTTTCATTCAATTGAATTATTTCCTCGACTTTTCGAGGAATATCTCTCAATCCAAGAGGAATACCGAAATTTTCGTATAAACTTTTTTTGTAGCTCTTACTATTCTCTGCAAAAAAGGTTTCAATAAAAAATTCGCTATCTCTCTCAGATTACGAGTTATCCCTATAGAAGTTTACTATTAACTGGACCCCTTCACTCTCGAAATTCCCACTGAATTTTCCCGATTTTTCATAATTACGTGTGATAATTAAATTAGCAAAATAGAATATTTCATTGATAGCAATGATATTATTCTCTGAAATTTCCTTGCAAATTGATAAGGTGAAAATTGAGGAAAAACAAATTTCAGTGATCGATTGATAAATCAATAATGACTTGAGGCACTTGAGGTCAAGGATCATTGTCATTAGCTGAAGTGATTGCCAGTGTCCACGATGAAGGACGATAGTTCAGAGACACGTGAGAATCACTCGAGTGATTTGTCATCAAAGAGACTGTGCCACGAGCACGGTGATGATTGTCCAAGTGAGAACGAACGGGAATTCGAGTCACTGGAGTACGAGGAGGACGTCTACTACTCGAAATTAGCAGCAACACCTAGTTTCGATGATATCGACGAGCTCAGTGTCAACGAGGAGATTATCATGCACTGCTGGAAGGACTCCAATTGCGAACTAGACGAGATCATCGTCGACGACACGGATCTCGCCTTCGTGGAGGGACAGGAGGGCACCAGGAGAATGAGGAGATCCATTAGGATTATTTTTCAGGAATTCTCCAAGTCGTATCTGGAGAAATTCAGCAGAGGCCAGAAGAAACTCATGGAACGACTCAAAGGTGGTCTACCCCTCCTCTCCTCTCCTACAGTTTCTATTAAATTATTTCACGCGAATTTTATTTATTGTCGAGCTGAAGAAAATATAATCGATAAATTGAGGAAAAAACATGTTGAAGGCAATAAGAATTCATTGGAGAGATTGTCTTAATGAAAATTTCCTCTCGATTCTCTCGACCAATTCGATCCAATTACAAGAGCCAGGAGAAATTGCGAGAATTTCTTTGTCATGTTTTATTCACTGGTAGTCAGGGAGAAACTGCTCCAAAAAATTTGATGACTCTGGAGAAAATATTTGTGTCAATGGCTGGAATGTTTCATAATTTCCTCGTAAAGTCTTTAACGGTTGAGCTACACCAGAAAATGGTGTGATGATGCAACTGAGGCTTCGGTGTGGTTTAAATAATTTTATTCACTGGATTTTTCGATAATTTTTTCTTGTTTATATTCTGGTTCTAGGAGAGGATGCTCTGCACTCTGGACTGAATTCTGGATTAAATTCCCCGTCTATGGATAATATCGCGAATGAACTCGCGGGGATGACACCAGAGCAGCAAGAGGAGCAGAAAGAGGAGTGGAGGCGTGAATTGGCCAAGGTAAATATTTATTCCATCCCACACTTTAATATCTCAATTCTCTAATAAATATTTACTCCCATCAATTGCAACTACAATTGTAGCTATTTCAAATTATTAATTGGATTTTAATTTAATGCACTCCTGCCAAGAATTAGAAATATTAATGGTTGAACGTAAAATAATGAAATATGAATTATTCCATTGTCAAAAGATATTGCAAAATTGAAACTCGTGATTAATTCTAGAGTTGATTTTGTGGATAATTTTGTTTGAACTGAATGCAGTTATTTCGGAATCTTAGAATTATTTGATTTCAGGTGGAAGAGGAAATTCAGACCCTCAGACACGTACTCTCGAGCAAAGTGAGAGTGTCACAGGAGTTGAAACGCAAGCTAGGAATCACTGTCTGGAAGGATATAACGGATGACGTTAACCAGGGGATTCGCAACGTCAAGGAGAGTCAGGTGTACGTATTTATCTCCTATTATCCTCATTTAGTACGAGTTAGTGTGCACGAAGTTCCGGATGCATGGGGGTCTCACACTCATGTCGCCACAAAATTCAACTCGACTTTATCACAGAGTCAACCTCATCTCCAGGGAACATTTCAATTCAGCGAAGTGGTAACCTACGATAATTGCATATTTTCTCGGGATGAGTTTTATCCAGATATCTCGGGATTGAAAGAAAATATTGACATTTTCGTAACCACCTTTTTTGCAGCGCTCACCTTTCCCTACAAAAAATATATAACCCAAAATATCGCTGTCTCCCTTCAATTCCGAGATTTTCGTCAAAAACGGGCATCGAAAAAATACACTAATCTCAGTTTACCACTTATCAAAAGAATTGTAATTTGTTCTTGAATTTTGCTCACTATTCACTCGACAAATTTCATTCATTCATTCCATTCGCTCAGTGTCATAATAAATATAAAATATTGTCAGAATATTTCATACGTGAAACTCATCATCATGAATTTATTGAAATTTATTTGGCTTTTCCCTCGGGTATTCAAGGTGGTGGTTGCATTGGTAAATTGCAAATAAGATCAATTTTTTTTTTTGTTCTGGATCATTTTGTTTTCTTTTACTTTTGGTTGGGTTCAGTTATCAGAACGTGGGTGAGAAACTCGGTCGCTTCACCAGGGCGGTCTCCGAAAACAGTTTGTAAGTATCAGAAGCAAAACACGAAAGAACAAAAGAACATGAACGGTATTTCTTCATGGATTATCGATTAATCATAAATTTCACCTTCAGCTGAATAACGCACATTAACTGAGAGCTTCAGCAAATTCCTTCTAACGTAAATTAAGTCGATGCATCTCTGGCTGCAGCTGGTGGCAATTTCTCTGTGAATATCCTTCGATTTTGAAGGGATTATTGATTATTGTTTTACGGTGTGCATTAGATTCCAGAGAACAGAGTCGGTGTGCAAACAGGCAGCAGGACTCACTACCAGTATTCTCGGAGGTTTTGGCAGTGGAATTACAATGAAACTTGGACAGATGCGTAATTCTGACAGCTTTCGATCGCTCGAAGAAAAAGTTGGCTCTGCATACGAAAATGTTAAAGTAAGATTGATTATTTTTGATGGAATCATTTAGAAATGATGGGTGCGGTGGAGGTGCTGGGGGTGGAGAGGGAGGAGAGGGTGGAGGGTGGAGGGTTGAGTAGAATTTTTTCAATGGATTGTTTTCCAGGGAAAAGTCACTCCGTCGAGATCAACATCAACCCAGAGCTTCGACGAGGCACTGCGCGAGGCAGAGGCATCGAGACGTGCCTCAGGTGCACCATCAGCTGCCACAAGCCCCACAATTCCTGAAGAGAAATTATTGTCATAGAGTTTGTCTTACAGTCGGCCTTTGATCCCACAATGCGACAATAACAACTATTCACCGTATGGAAGTAACACATGGGTCGGTCGTCTCGTTCATTACTACTATTGTTCACAATGTAACACGTACTTGAGGTCCAATCATAACATTTAACGAAGTTTCCAACACTGAATGTCAAGTTCCTGTGGACAAGACAGTATTCGTGGACTTTATCAATTAAACGTGCTTTCTAAAATTTAAACATGTGGCGCTAAATTTCAGAGATAACGGTTGTTACCCTGACAATACAAGTTATACAATGGGAAAAAATCAGTCTGGAAATTAGAACAGGATGTGAAAACATTTACAAGTCAAAACATTTTTACACGAAAACAGAGAGTTCATTGGGATAATGTGATCCTGAATCATCCAGCACTGTTGAGCCTTTAAATATATATCGAATACGTTTTTGGGACGAGTGGAGATTATTCTTTTTTATTTCACAATAAACAGGGAGCAAGTGGTGAAAAACCGCAGAACAAGTCGTTTATGGATTTTTATTAATGAATCATCAGAAGTTTTGGAAATGTTTTGGCATTAAAAATGTGGGAAATCAGTTCAAATTTTTGGTTTACCTTGGAGTTAGTTGAAATGTTTTTTTTTTTGTAGAATTATTCGACGACTTTTCTCCCTGAGTGTAAAGATAATAATTGGGCCACGGGAATTATCGAGGGTATGAAGTATTTTGGTAATTACTCCCAACCGCGTAATCGGGAGTTATTCTTTCTTTTGAATTTTTAATTATTCACAATTAAACAGGTGTACTTACGACACGTAGTGTAACTGCTCTGTCCAGCTTCGAGAATTTCAGTTACTTCTCCTTTTTTTTTTCTAGATTCTAAGATAAAACGTGTTTAGTACACTTGCATCTGTCCACCTGGCGCCTGTCTGCCACTGTAATCCTTATTCTTACTGGTAAATAAATTATTTCATCAGAATAACCGATTGTTCAAATAATTTCACTTGTTTTTTTTTTTATAAAAAAGCATATAAACTTTTATTGGAACTAGATACAAAAATAATACATTTTTGTTATCGTCTGGAGTTAATTACAGAATTGACGACGAATTATTTTTTTCAGAACTTGGCGAATCGATTTGAATTCCACTTGTTCGTTTTGCTATTGGAATAATTTCCGTCTCATTTCTCTCGAATTTCAATTCCACAGTGGAATATCTTGGAAATAGCGGAATAAAAAAATAGACTCATGAAAATTTCACACCTTTATTCTCTTACAAACCATAATCATGTTCTCAATTATCATTTCTAATAAAATCTTTATTCGTAAATCTCCTATTTAAACTAATGCGCAATGCAACAATTTGAACATCAGCACGCGATGCGCGTCAAATTCACCCATAAACTATCTACTCGTATTAATAACCGTGAGAAATATCTCCATCCACACAGAAACAAGGAAGAATTTTTTAATAAAAATAGTGGAGTTATTAACTAAGGCGTGTGAAAATATAAATTTCTATGGTACATCCTAATAGAATAGAGAACGAACGGATCGCCGAGATGAGCCTGAGATCAGGACAAATTTTTTTCACACAGATAAAAAATCTAAACTAAAAACTACTGGAGAGACTGTGAAAAAAATTACTAAAACAAAAAGACGAGTTGAGTTTTAAAAATCATTTATTTCCTAGTAAAAAAATCTGTATAATTTCCATATTTTTCTTAAACAACTAATTCCCTAGTCACGAGAAAAATTGTTTTATGGACAAAAAGTGTCTTCCCATTTCAGCAATTCCTTCTCTCAGCGTAAAATACATGTTAACAAGAAAGAAATATAATAATAATAATGTATATAAAACAGAAAATTAGCGCCTATTATCTCCAACGATTGCCTGATACTGTTGTCAGTAGGTTAAATGCAGCCTGCATCGGCAATCGATGCAAGTGAATGTGGGAAATGGTTGAATAATAATAATTAAACGATGGGTTTTTCACAATTTTCATCAATATATTTATCTGTCAGTGATGCTATCCAACATTCGCAAAGTTATTTCCAACCCGTTGGAATCGATTTTTCACAGATTTATTATCCCCAGAACTAATCACATCTCACGGTATAAATAATTTTCATGCTTTTATTTAGCTATCTACATTAAAACAATTAATAATCGAGGATGCGTTGATTTTTCTAACGATGAAATTATTTAATACTCCCACGATTACTCAATGTCGATTGATGTAACTGTGAGAGGAGCTAGTATAGATTTACTTCCATTAACTTTCGATTTAATCTTAAATAAAAAATTGGTCGTAACAAAAAAGGTACAATCATCGATTTCACAACATTATCTTTCAAAACACTGTACACCCGAGCTATTGTTAGTAAGCAAAATTTTTTATTATTTTATACTTCGTCTAAATTTTTATTCACGGTCGATCGTCTCCCATCAGTTTAGTAGCAAAGTCGGTAAAATCGAATTTCAATTTTCAATTTCAGTTTTGGCTATACCGATTCTCGGAAGAATATCGATATTTATTTTTTTTTTTGGAGACGAAATCTCGAGTCTCGATTCGATATTTCAATTGCTTTTCGAATCAAATCGGTAACCCGTGGAAAAATTGAATTTTCATTTCACGATTTTGCTACTGCACAATTGGATATTTTCTCTCGACAAAAGGGAAGTTTTCGAGGGGTAGTTTTGTCGACTCTTGCAGGTATTGTTATCAACTTATTCACCGGATCTACATTATCATTAAACTCACGAAAAATTCGTCACTAAAGTCCTTAAATTGTGGCAAGTGTCAACGATTCAATCTGCGATTTGTGATAAATATGTTCTTCAAGGCTTCAACACGCTGTAGACGTTTTTTTTTCGGGGTAAATATAATATTTTAATATATTAGTTTAACAATATAAAGTTGTAAACAGGATTTACAATAACATGATTTCGTTGTTGTGAGGAGAAAAATCATTAAAATCCAGCAGATCGATTTTTAACACTTGATTTTAGTCATTTTTCCTCTCGGCGATGGTCCTTACACATTTTTGTACTGAGTAGGCAAAAACATTTAACGAATATTAAAGTTCACTTATTACACCTCTCGATCACTATCATATATTAATTCGCTGTATTTCGTTCACTCTCTTCCGAGATTTTTCGTTGCTGGCATTGCCACTTGAGTATTATCGTATTAATTTAACAAAATATATAATAAAATTGTGTATAAAAAAAAAAAACGAAGACAGTTTTGTGGACGTATTTCGTGGTAACTTGGGGATTTTCCTAATGAAAAAAATATTAGGTTACTTAAAAAAGTTTAAAAAAAAAAAACGGTGAAAAAATTATCGAAAAAGTTGAGTATTTGCGGACGGAATTGTTTAAATATTCAATCAATAATATCCTTTTGTTAATATCATAGTAATCTTGAGAATCGATTGATAGAATTCTTCGAACACGCCTACGATTTACCGATTTAAAATAATCGAGTGACCTTCTCTGGAATTCCGTCGATCGATTAGTAATCCAACGATCGATTATTGGTTTTCATTCTCAATCGGAGAAACTGACGATAAAATATCGCTTTTAATTGACTCCATTGTTTCCGGTCGGGGGAGATAAATCGTTCGCTATATTTTTCACAGCGTGATCTATCGTTTTTTAATTTTTTTTTTTTTTTAACATCAGTTCTTTGTGATCGTGCACTAGGGGTTGCCGATGCCACACCTAGTAGACCCCTTCTTAGAAGGTTAATAGGCTACCAAGGCTCACGACGTTCAATTGAAAATGTGGAGGTGAAAAAACATTGGAAAAATCCACGCGTGGGTTTTACATTACGAGCTGAACGTGATCTAGGGGACTATGAGAGGTAATCGCACCCGGAAAACACCGTTTTCACGTGAGGAGTTTCGCCCGAGGTGATTATTTCGTCCTTTCTGTTAAATTTAAAGAACAACAAATTTTTATAAATTTTATCCACGTGTCGCACGCTGAAAAATATTTTTTTTTTCACGCGGAGATGAATATTTGGGGGAATTACAAAACATTTTTTATCAACAATTTTCAGTATCAGAATTTTTCCCTTTTCAATTTTCCAATTTTCAATTAACGGATATTTGAATTGCCATAAATTAATTGGATAATCAAAAAATGGAATGTTAATTAAAGTCCAGAAAAATACTGATTAAAATTGGAATTTGAATTCGTAATGCGAATTAATTATTAATTCCAGTTAAAAAACGAAAAAAAAAAAAATTGAAACAAAAGATGAAAAAATATAAAAATACATAAATGGTAAAATAGCAAATAGGTGATTTTTAATCCGTGGAAATAAAAATGATAAGAGATAATAAGAATAAAGCGGTCGAATGTACTGGACTCGTGTAAATGACGGAATAACTGTAATTGATATTCATCCTTGAATCCTAAGAAATCCAAAAAATGGCGGAAGATATACATGTGACTCAAGTACCGGATACTCAAGGGCGTTTGACGCTGATTGGATGATCCTCAACGGTATCCAATCCTGGTTTAAATTGGAGAAAGTCTGTAAATAACAGCGAGCAAAACCATTACATACGTGTAGATATAAAATACACGTGGTACTTGTACCGTACGGCCTATGTACATCCTCGCATATGGTAGAGATAAAAAAAGATGAGGGAAAAATACACGCGTTTTACGACTGACTCATGGAAATTGAATATTATATGCCTCAGTACGATCATTCGGATGAGCCGTGTCTTATGATACTTTGCAATTAATTTTTTTTCACCGCCTTTGTGGGTCATTTTAATTTCAGTTTATGATTTCAAATGATTTTTTTATCCCCGGGGAAGGCCGGGGCTAAATTGCCTCTGGCAAATATCAATTTTGGTAAATGATTTTTATTTTCCGCTGTCATTTCGAAAAACGCGGGAAATATTTTTAAAAATGTCATACCGAATTTTTTAAATATTCCCCGAAAATTATTCTGCCATTTTTTTTTTTAATATATCAACAAAATTATGTTCTAAATAATATTTTCTGGGATTATAGCAATATAGGAAATTTATGAAATTTATGGAATTTATGGAATTTATGGAATTTATGAATTTAATTTATAAAGGGAAAAATGTGATTTTTTTTCCGACTTTTTAAAAATGATAAAAATTGAGAATATGGCACGGAAAAATGGAAAATTTTCGTGGTATGAGGGAGAATAATTGGAGAAAGACGGTGCACAAGATATAGGTGCACTTACGAGGGTACTCTGTACGCAACACCGTCGTAATGCACTTCTCGTGGTACGCAACACTCGTGTAACATGCAATTACCATCGACACACGTAACACTAGGCCCAACACCGACTTACGGCGCTTTGAAAAAGGAGATCTTTCTAAAACTTTGACCTACGTTTTCCGTGATCATTCATGCGTGCCACTTCAATATTCTTCGCGTTATTATTTTTTCCCCATCCTCCGGTGATTTTTCATCTCCACCCGTGTATCCCTTTTTTTATCCATTCACCGGAATATTTCAGTTAATTAGACACGAGAGAACAAAAAACGCCATTATCCCAGGAGATTAATGAATGATAATTAGTTTATTACAGTTTGCTTCGTTAAGACAAACGCGTCATTTGGACAATTAAAACATTAGGTGTGTGGAAATATAATAATTACAGAATATTCGAGTTAAATGTTTGTTGTTTATTCTCGATCTGTTATATCTCTCGGTTTCAAGAATAGTCTCTTGACTAATTCAACGACAAATAGCACACAAAATATTTGACAACCCTAAATTTCCATGGAATTTACGCGCATTTCTCAACCAATGAATAAACTTAATTATTTAAATATTCAATTCTAATCTCCCACTCCACGACGACGAAAATTCTTGAAAGTGGATAAAAATACTCATTGCAATCAGCGATTTATCTCGAGACCTATCGATCTCAGCTCAAAACACAAGAGGAGTTTTTTAAAGCTGATTAAATGTTCTCCAAAAAAGGTATTATTGTATTTTCTCGTAAAACCAATGAATCCCCAGATAAATCGTTGTTAATAAAATTTTCCGAAGATCGTACGTCACGCGAGTGAAACAATTCCCACGTGCATTTAAAAAATTATAAAAATTTCTACAAACACGTTGACGAGGGTGTGCGATGTTTCCCACTCCCTAAATTATACCTCACGTCAAAATTGTCTTCCCCAAATGCCCAGGGATTGGGCAATAGGTGCACATTTCGAATGTTCTGGCTGAGGTACCCGAATCAGGTACATCGCGTGTGGATTTTTCTCTCATACATCATTCCACGAAAACCAGACAAAGAGGATAGAATTTCGTGTTGAAAAATCTCTCGTTTCACAATCAACGGAAATCACGGTGGAAGGTCACTCGACTGTTACGCTCATTAAAATATAATGATTTTTATTCGTCTTAGACACTCTCAGGAATTAATTAATCATTGGAAAGTTTTAAACAATGGAGTTAATTTTATTTAGAGTAGCTTAATGTTAAGTTTCGTCGTAAGGGATTCGACAATTCTCTAATCACTCCTTGAGTATGTACCTAAATCACAGCTCGTGCTAACTAATTACTTGGGTGAGACATCGATATTTATTGTCTCTGATTTCGTTATTCTAGGGGTTCGCGTTGAATTTTTATAAAACAAGACAGATTATTTATAAAAATATTGACATTTTTATCATTTTAGTCTATCTCGTTTCATCCCAGTTGTCTACAGATTTGTCGATTGCAAATGTGCGATTATCTCGAGAGCTGGTGATAAGAGCTCGATAAATCTCGTTTCACCGAACAGCTGGGAAAATTAGCAATTACAATCACTGATTTTCCGCCCTTCTCCCTCCAACCGTTCATCGAAAATTCACGATAAGGATTTTTCACGTTTCTCTTCGAAATTTTTAATCACAATTCAACTGCAATTATTCAATGAGACGAAGAGTTGCAGACGAAAAATATTTCACAATATTTTTCAAGATAAAATAGCCCGATAGACACATGCATTATTTCCCAGTGTGTGGGCACACGAAACTAGACAATTAAATTAATCCGTAATTAACGATCTCACAGCGGGAAACCCGATACCGTCGAGTTCAAATGAGAATTACAAACGGTGTCCCACAATTTTAAATCGTGACCAGAGCTGCATTCCATGAGGGATCGGAGGAAAAACTGCTTGAAATAATAACGAATTTTCATTAATGGCGGTACATTTTTTCCAATACAAACACTGAGAATTTTGCGAATCAATTTTTAAGCCATTATTCCCTTTTTATTCGCGGTACAGATCGAGGGATTACATGAATGGGAGAAATTTCGCTTTAATTCCATCGAAACTGAAGTGGGAGTGTCTATTCCACTTCACTACCTCAATAAATACGAAATGAAATTTGTTTTCCTCCACGAACTACTGATGTTCCCGATAGACATGCACTCGCGTCTTGGAAATCGTTACGAAATTTTCCGATCTTTTATCAAAAATCTCCGGATCGCAATAAAATAAAATTCGAATAAAGAAATTATTCCGAACAGTTTTTCCAGACTCTCCCTCGAATCCATAAATCCTAAAAAACTTATTTTCCCTCGCTAAAATGATTTTTATAGTTAAAAAAAAGAATGAAAAAAAAAAGAAATAGTGTAAAGAAGTCGAATAGAAAAATCTCGCGCTTTCTCTAGAAAATTTTTCATGGAAACGAAATAAAAAATGAAATTCGAGAGAGAAAGCGTTGGATTAAAAAATCAATTCGTCATTGACTTGAAAGTCAATTATTACCGAATTGATGACAATGTGCGCAATTGGCTAGCTCTGGTGCCGACAAATGAATAAAAAAAAATCTCACGTCCCGATAAATAAATAATATAATAGGTGTACACGGAATACCCGGCGGGGCAAGTGCGGCGTTTTCTTTTCTCGATTTATTATAAAATCAGACGCACAAATCGATCTCACCGCTACAGGGCACCATTTCGTGTGAGCGAAGGTCCCCCCTTTTGCCAGTTTGAAAAATAAATACGACACGTCATATAACCGACCAGAGCAGAACATATCTATCGAAATCTCATTATATCAATTCCCCATCTCTATTTTCAATCAGGACAATCCATTTTCATTCGTAAGCATCACATTTGAGCGCCAATTGGCCGTGATATATTCACAGCTGTCATGGACGGATTGTAAAAATCGTACAATTAACTATAAAATTATTTTCCTAATCCCAACCGGGTCCTACGATTTTTTTTATTATTTTTCATTAATACTTCTACGATAATTTTTAAAGAGTGCACTGTTGAAAATTTCTTGAAATTTCAGTCGCAGTCATTTGAATTTTTTATTATATATCATTTACAGTGGCTTTCAATTAAAATTCGATTTTTTAAAATAAATGATAATTATGCATAAAATAAAAATTGAAAGAAAGAAAAATCAACTCTCGTAAATGAAGAATTTCGCAGAAATGGCTTTTCATTTTTTGTTCGTTAAGAATTTCAATTTGACTTGAAATTTCAAGTGCCATTTTCCAACAGTGTAGCGGTTAAAAGTTAGATTAAGGCTCGAGTCTTTACATAATTCTCAAATGCATTTGAATACATCAAATTTTGAATACATCTTCGTGGTATTTTAGTACCTCAGGCGTTGAAAGTTCTCCAGTGAAGTGAGGAAACATAATAATTCACTAGTGATTGAAAATATGTCCGCAGATAACTCCGATAAAAATATTTAAATTCATTTCATTATTGTATAATTCCAACTGCTCCAATTTCGCAAACATATTTCATCGCTCCACTGGAGAAAAGCTGATCCCCGGCCACTACCTCCCCCGAGAGAAGCCAACGAGAAGCTCCAAGCAGGTGTCACGATTTTCTGGTGAGGATTCCCGACAAAAAATTCCAGCGTAAACCCCAAAGAGGATCACCTTTCCACCCCCGTCTCCCCCAGGAGTACCGTTCACCACATACGATCATTAGTCACGGATTCCCTGCACCATCCAGTCCCCACAATCCCCCCAACACATGTCAGATCGACCAAATGGTTTCACCGCACGACGAGGCGCTGACCAATACCCCAAATGTCTCCTCCATGATAAAAGACAATTCGTGAATGCAACATCGATATAAAAAAACGAACAAAAAGAAAATAGAGAGCTCTTTGTACACGGATTCCACCGGATTTATCACACGAGAAACTCCCTTTAGCAACCGTTATCAGAATTGTCTGAGGGTTCCATAATTTTCGAACAATTGAAACAAGGAAAAAATAAAATTTGTATAAAACCATCTAAACTAACTGGACGGATTGCAAACAGCTGAATCAGCGCTGTGATTTCCCCGCGACGTATCAGAGGGGCTTGAGTTGCTGTTGCTGCTGCTGTTGCCATTTCCAACATTCGTCTTGTTGGCAGCCATGTGTGTCTGATAATGTTTGGCAAGATGTGCCTTCTGCCTGAAGCTCTTGCCACACATGTTGCAGGCAAATGGTTTCTCACCAGTGTGCGTCCTGATATGAACATTGACACTGTATTTATCCTTGAAGCCTTTGCTGCAGATGCTGCAGTAGTGGAGGGATCTCTCCTTGCGTTGAACAGAGCTAGGTGATCCAGAGCCATTGCCCTGTCCACTGTTACCATTACCAGATGCATTACCCGTATTCCCATTGCTACTGGCACTGCTCTTATTTGACCTTCTGCAGTACTTCTTGGGTGCTTTTGGACTTGATCTTGCCGGTGCTATTGGTATCTGATTGGTGGTCGGCTGTGTCTCCTCTGTTCTCGTGGTCGTCTGGGGTAACAAGTCCTGCTGGGCAGCCACAACTGTGACAGTACCCAAATCAGCTGGTAACGTTATCGTACCGAGACTACCACTCTGTGGATCAAGTGTGTAAAGAACAGTCGGTGCTGATGATACACTGCAAACTGGCTCCAAACTGCAGTACGACTCCACCACTTCGTTCTCAATGCTCTTGAGTTTTTCGTACTCTCCGGGTCTGAATGGAGCGCTCGCCAGTTGAGAAAGCAAAAGATCATCATCGGTGCAGCCGTGCATTCCCTCATTCTGGGAGTCCTGGGGGGTCTGGCCCTGGTGATCCAGCATCTGGAGTCCTCCACTTGCATTACTCGACACCGACAGCGAAATTGTCGAGCCCTGGGACGGTGAGGGCGATGGTATCTGGGTTGAGCCTGTATAGATCTTCCCCGTTAGGGCACTCCTCAGGAGGCTCTCGGCATTGTCAGCAGCTGCTGCAGCAACCGCCTCCTGCAGCTGATTCTGATCCGACAGCTTCCAATCATTGTTGTTGTCACCTGAAGGATTCGTTTGTCTGCACAGCTCCTTGCTCTCGACGAAGCCACTGTCGTCAGCGTACTGTGACGATGGTGTAGCTATCACGTGATACCTCTCGGTGCTTCGAGATTGATCGACCGAGCTCTGAACATCGTGATCCTGATCGCTCGGGCTTGGTTCAAGACTCAGTATCGCATCCAAATCGAGATTCGGTCTCAGTGACCAGGAGTCTGTCGACGGTGCTGTCGGACTCTTGCAGCAGTCCAGGGCGTCTATCGAATTCTCATTATTCAATACAGTCAACGTGTAAATGGCGCCGTCTGTATTCTGTCTATCGTTGGCTGTTGTTATTCGGTGTGCATTGTCATTGCTCTGGACGTCGGTGTGACTCGTTGGTGTTGCCTCGGTTGACCAGCAAAATTTATTCAGATCCTCCAGAAATATACTTGCCGTTTGCTCTTTACTGTCATCTGTATTCCAGTAATCGCAGTCTGACTGGTCCATCGGTACCTCTGCACTGACACAGTGATTCCTGACCCCATGATTCATGGCTCCTATCAGCGTCGAGGCAGGGGGTAATGCTGTTAAGGTGTTGTTGTTTGTCTCTTTGATGAAGGTCGATGGATGATTGTCGTGGTCATCGTGACGTGTATCCTGGAGATAACTCATACCACGACAGGTTGTCCGATGGAGGTAGCTGTCCTCGTCTGATACACCACCGGTTGAGCCGCAGTGCGGTGGGGGAGATACCACGAAGTCAAAGTAATCTGTCTTCCCTAGGTCATCACCGGGAACACCACCCGACGGAAACGTGTCCGTAAGGTCCATACCACTTGCTCCAGTTTAATACGGGGTCGATAGGGATTACGATTATTGACTCTGGAGCTTTGATGGGTCTGAGGTGGTTGGCGACGCTCTGGTGATGGTGGATGGGGTCTGGTGGATGTTTCGCGGTCTGGTTGCATCCAGAATCTACTGGATACCTCAAGCGTGTCGGGAATCTTCTCGCCCGATCGGCCACGGCATCCTTGGGGGAACTACGGTTTTACTTCACCTCGACGCTCCAACAGGTGCACCTGCAATGAATCATTTAGAACTTCTTTTATATTTGTGATTAATTCGTTGGATAATTTACTGTTAGCCGTGGGTTATTATGGATCACCTGATTCAGGTGTTTCAGGTTGTAATCAGTACTTCCTGTGTCAAATCGTAAAGTCTTGAGGGAAATATTAACTCTGCAATTTAAAATTAGTCCTGACTGATAAAATCGACAGGAAAATCATATCTTACTCTCAGAAATGAAAAGCTTCAGTCAAATGGACTCGTTCCAGTGATGGTGGTAATTTATTTACGATGAAAATGTGATCCCTCAAATTAAGTCTAGACTGAATTCACTCACAACTTTTTTTTTCTCAAATCCGAAGAGATCAATGTGAAAAATCTTTTGATCAAAATGTTTTCTCTCCCTGCGAGATATCTTTTTGTTTAAATTTTTTGAGCACGAGTTTCTCCGAGAAATTAAAGAAAATAAAAAGTCTTTTTTTTTTGCAGGTAACGTCGGAATAAAAAAATAGTTGTTGGTGTGTAAATGAGACCGGACTTCCAATATTACTAGTATATTCGATCCGGCGAACGCAGAATATCGTACCTCGACGTTGTCATGCCTTCGAGATTTATTCGAGACTCGAGCATCATAGCTGAACCCCATGTGGATACAGGATATATCCTCAGGTATATGTTTTCTATATCCAATCGATGTGAAGTAGGGGGAATGGAGGAGTGGAAAAAAAAATGAAAAGACCGGTTTTGGAATATAATCTCTCCTCGGGGTAACCCGTTATTGGGCACACTGTCCTACAGAACAGACAGACCGAGGCTGTACTTGTTTCTTTTATTCCATTTTTTATACATAGGATTATTCAATCTCGTAGATAAGTTTTATCGGCCTGAAATTCTTTTTTTTTTACGACGTCATTCCGCCTGATTGTCGAGGGTCTTGATGGATTGGACTCTAATTTCTACTTCGGCTTTTGAATTTTTTGACGCTCTGGTGGGGATTATTCGGGCTCGTGTACTCGTCTGTTGGGAAATTCTTCGAGGTCTTCTAGGGCCCAGCTCTTTGGGAATCTGGGCCTGAAGGGACCCAGAATTTGTAACGGTTTTGAGTGATACCAGACATGTCAGTGATTGATGGTTGATTATCTGGGTAATGGGTCGTGTTTCAAACCCGAGGATTTTAATATTTATTTAATATTCTCAGGAATATAGTGAGATATAAATATATAGGAATATATTTTTAGGTATTTTTTGAAGGGGCGGAGACATGGCCGCGAAAATTATGCGGGTCGATGAAAAATATCTCATCAGATTTCCATTTCCTTTATTCGATCGTTTGAAATTCGAAAAGCGACATTCCTTCCTTCGGAGTCTCCACGAATCCCCCAATTAATTAGGATTAATAATCGTTATCTTTTGTCACAGGAAAACTAAATTCCTCATTCTCAAGAAAAAATCACAAGACGAAAATTAATGGGCGGAGATTGTACGGATGATCGACTTTTTGAAAAACATTTAAACGGATCTCAATTTGAAGATAATTAAAAATATTCCGCTCAGTGATAATTTTTAAATTAATATATATTTTGATATTTCGTGAGATATATAATGTACGTGACACATATCCACAATTTTCCGCGAGAAAATGGGAAAATTACGCGGGTCGCGACGCGCGCAGTGGAATTCAATAAAAAAAAATTCCCCGCCATTTTGTCATAAATCCCCTCCTCAAAAACTTGAATTTCATTTCCCGACAAAAAAAGGCTCGGACATTTGGGTTGGCAATTGTTGCTCCATATTTTATGCGCGTTCCAGCGCGGTGGAGTGCGCGTGCGCGGTCGCGAATGCGCAAGCGGACGAGCGCGAGAGAGACGGCGGAAAAATGCCCATTGAGAATGAAACAGTGGAAAAGAGAGAGAGGGAAATGGGTGTAAGTAAATCCAAGGCGGGCATTAGGGCCCGGACCAGACAGTCATGGGTATTGGTGCGCCGTGGGAACGCACGTTAGCTTATAAATTCGCGCTATGGGCAACCCAACTCGTATAACTTTTAGCTCCGAGCCTAGATCACCTCCATCCGCAAATGATTGCGCAACGAAGTTTTACTCCAGACCAACACCGATTTATCCCCACTGTTGTAACGCACCGCGTTGAATTAATCGCGTGTAGGTTAAGCCGACGAGTGAAAGAGACAAAGGAGGAGGACGCGCGGTAAATGCCAGACTCACAACAATGAGAGTCTCCAAGCCCCCGCTCCAAGACACCCGGATGTCCGAGGTTCAGGCACTCATGTCCTGCCTTTTCCCCGTTTTTCTTTTTCTCTCTTCGCGCCGCTACTGGAGTAAACGCCAATTCGCGCGGAGCCTCGCGCTCTTTTTTTTCGGTAGCTGCGCGTTTTTTGGAGTAAACAATCTGCCGTGGACCCAAAATTATTCTCGTGATTCTCTCACGATCCGAAGATCATTCACTTTTTTTTTTACGCTTCACTCGCATTACTCGCGTTACTCGCGCCACTCGCGCTACTCACGTTGCTATTTGAAAAATTGATTTTGAAATATCTCGGGAGGTAATTGAGGGAATGAGGCGTGCGAATGGAATTTGGAATGGGAAATTTATAGAGATTCAGGTGCTTCGGATAAACTTTTGAATTTTTGTCTCATCCTGCATAAATCTGCATTAAGGTGCAATTGACATTTGCTCTTAGCGATAAGTTTATCATCGAAGTAGCCGTATGTTATGCGGCATGACGTTAATGGCGGTTTGTATTACTTAATTTCACATTTCCCTGGCAATTATCTTTTGGTGTCTGCACGGTGTACGACATTGATGTATATCACCGGGGTTTAACGAAAACGACGGTAGCATCGCTAATAAGATCGGCGTGTGCGATCCCGATCAATCGGGTGCAAAAGTGCCATCGAAAGAGAAACGATCGGCTCTTCTCATTGGGTGTATAATAATCGGTGAACCAAGTTGCCTCCCGTCGACTTGTCAACACAAACCCGAGCCCCAGCTGCGCCCACCGTTTAATGAATGTCCACTTGACAAAATAAAAATAAAAATTCACGATGAAAAACGATGGAAAAGAAAAAAAAAAAAAATTCAATACCCGATTATGGCGCTCGCTAAATTTAATGAGACGAAAAGTGGACGTGGAGTGAAGATGAAAGACTTCAGTGATCTCTCGATGGAGAAAAAAATCGGTTACTTGACAAAAGAATTTAGTCAATGGAAATGACGCGGGAAAAAAATTATCTGGGGCACACGCATGGCGCATGTGTCGGAGCGACTTTTTGCCATTTTTTTTTTCATTCTTTTTTTTTTGAGGGGGGGGCATACGTTTTTGGTAATTGGCTCCAGGTAGAAAGCACCCTCTTCTCTCACACCGCAGCTCGTTCTCCAGATATTTCTGTTCATTCTTGGATTTTTTTTCCCGTTTTTCGAGAAATGAGGTCGAATTTTTTCCGATATCTTGGAATCTAAAGAAAATAGTGAAATTTTCACATTTTTCCCTGAAACGAAGAAGTTTCTCTATTGTTTATTCATATTTATTTATTTATTTTTAATACCATTCACTATTCTTATTTTCATTATTAATTATTCCGGTTTGTTAATAAATTTTTGTTTTGACGTTATCATGAAAACCCGATTTTTCAGGGATTGCGAGTAAAAAAATGACGAAATTCCACAAATCTTCATAAATTTTCAATTACTCTCACCAATATCGACAGAAAATTGTTAGCGAAAAATTCTCGCCACCAACCTGATGACTTGTACCGTTGATCCTCACAAATATGAAACCCCCATTCCACTCTCCCCGAGATGTAAATTTGAATTCATGTCAAAGGGAAATAAAAATAAATTTTATAGCCCTCCGAGATGTGCAATTTAGCATTCGACATCCCGCGGTTTAATATCCAACCGAAAGCCCAAGTGCGCGCAAATGACCACCGAATCGAGAGTTAATCAGGCAGATATGCGTTTGAAATGGAGAAAGAAATTGTCTCTCCCCATCCTCTTTATTTATTCTTCATTTATTTTCTTTTTTCTCCATTCAACCGCTGATGGAAGATTGCGATTGGAATACAGCGGCTCAACAAATACGTCAAGACAAACGCGTATACTCTTATTCCGAGTGTATAACTCCACTTCATGACCGGAATTGGTCAAATTTTTACGATCGCCTTTATAAGCCTTAATGATGGGTTGCCGGTCAACTTTATCGCTTCATTTGCACGAATAATTTCACCTCGACGAGCCCTCCAGACAAAAAGATCAGAACGAAATCGTGTATTTGGGGATTCAAATTATTCTTATTATTATTATTATTCTTATTATTCTTATTATTCACATATCAATTTTGTTTTATCGCCAAAATGTTTTTTTACTCCGCACGTAATTGCAAGTCATTCACAGATCGAGAAATTGCAAATGTTTATTGAAAGGAAATGTCTATTAAACAATTTTCATGTGATAAATTTACTTTTAATGAACAGCCATTTAATTTGCTCCTCGGATTTTTATGAATATCTCGGAATCTAAGGAAGACAGAGACTTTTTCGTGAGAATCGATTTTCCAGCGCACAATTTGCGCTACAAAAAAGTTTATTATCAAAATTTCGGTATTTTGTTCTAATTCAGAGATATTTTCAGTTTAATTGATAATGGGATTGAGAATAAAATTTCATAATAGAAACAATTCACTAAAGATAATTAAAATTGATTTTTCGAGAGCGTAAATTTATCAGTGAGTGAGTGAACAATTTTTTTCTTAATTCAGTATTTATTTTTCAGGTTATTCACCTGAAAATTGCAATTTCCGGGGAAAAAAAATTGGCAATTACTATGAAAATCGTGTAATTAATGTTCTGGACCATTAGTCACCCCAGACACGTCATAAAAGTCCGGTTTAACCCCCGCGGGAGAAAGTAATAAACCGTTTTATTCCGAATGGGTCAAGGTGAGGTCACCATATCTGATATCACGCCCGTAAATCTCTCATTAATAAATTTGATATAAAT